TAGCCCAGAGCCCTGTTGCGGCAGGTTGGGCCGCTGCCGGGATGTGTCCGTGGGGACAGGCTGCTTTCCCCCAAAAGACTTTTTCCAAGGGCACGTAGTGATAGGATGAGGGGGAAAGCCTTTAAACTGGAAGAGGGCAGATTTAGATGAGATGTGAGGAAGAAATTCTCCCCTGTGAGGGCGGTGAGCCCCTGGGGCAGGTTGCCCTGAGAAGCTGTGGCTGCCCCATCCCTGGAGGTGTTCAAGGCCAGGTTGGACGGGGCTTGGAGCAACCTGGGCTGGTGGGAGGTGTCCCTGCCCAGGGCAGGGGGTGGCACTGGGTGACCTTCAAGGTCCCTTCCAACCCAAACCATTCTGTGATTCTAAAATAAGCCCGTTTTCTCCCCTCTTTCCTTCTAAAGCCCCAGAAATCGTGAACTACGAACCCCTGGGGCTGGAGGCCGACATGTGGTGAGTGAGCCCTCTCCCAAGCACTGTCCAGGGGCACCGGTGGTCAGTCTCTGGGACAGGGCTTGTGCTGGCGTATCTCCCCTCTTGCTGAAAGCGCAGGGAGAGGGGACCCACGGCGCTCCGCGGGGCTTCAGCCTCATCTTCCTCTCTCTTCCAGGAGCATCGGGGTCATCACTTACATCCTGTGAGTATAAGGGGAGTCTGGGGGAGACGGGCGCTGCAGGGCAAGTTCCCCGCCTCGGGTTGTCGCCTTTTTGGGGTGTCACAACCTGCTCTCGCCGCAGGCTGAGCGGGGCCTCCCCTTTCCTGGGGGAAACGAAGCAAGAGACCCTGACCAACATATCCGCTGTCAACTACGACTTTGACGAGGAGTATTTCAGCAACACCAGCGAGCTGGCCAAGGACTTCATCCGCCGCCTGCTCGTCAAGGACCCCAAGTGAGACAGGGAGCAGAGCTGGGGATTACCCTGGGAGAGGGGATGGTCCCTCCTGCCCGACCCTCCGTGTACAGGCAGCTCCCGCGTCTCCTGCCCGCACTAGGGCTTAGCGCCGAGCCTGCCATCCTTTGCCCATCCCTGTTGTGCTGGTTGTTTGTAAATCCCCTTTACCCCCCCCCCCATTTCCCTCCTGCTGCTTGTAGGATTTGGTGGCCACATCTGGAAACCGAACTCTCTGCCCCGCGTCAGGCACGGGGTGAATTGTAGGGTCACCCTGAGGGTGCAGCAGCTGAGCTGAAAAGGAGGGAGTGGGGTTTGGAAGGGATCAAGGGCTGATCTGAGCGCCCAGGGCACTGGGCTGGGGCGGGATCGGTGGTGCTGCGCGATGGGGTATCGGTCGGGAGGTTCCTGCGGGCTCCAGTGTGGGTATTTGGGAGTCCGGCTGAGGGCGTGGGAGCTGGATGCGGCCCCTGTCTGGGGTGGCCCCTGAGTACAGCGAGTTTGGGCTCATCTGTGCCCCCAAAGGCGATAGGATCTGAGCTGCTGTTCCAGGACTTTTAGCAGGGGAAGAGGCAGCAAAGCCTCCGCCCCGCGGTCACAGCTTTACTGTTGTTGCAGGAAGCGGATGACCATCGCTCAAAGCCTGGAACATCCTTGGATTAAGGTGAGAAGTTAAAGAATTGGTGCTTTTTGGGTATCAAACATCCAAGAGGTTGAGGGTGGGTGTTGATGCACCGGCAGCTCTCCACTGCTCTTCCAGCCCACAGTTGGGGCTGGTTTGGTGCCGCTGGTGGCCTGTGGGTGGGTGCCAAAGCCATCTGGCTGCCGCTGTCCCGGCTGTGCCCCACGGCTGTGGCTGTCCCTCTCCACAGGTGATCAAGAGGAGGAACGTCCGCAATGAAGACAACAGCAAGAAGCCTGAGCGCCGCCGGCTGAAGACCACACGCCTGAAGGAGTACACCATCAAGTCCCACTCCAGCATGCCGCCCAACAACACGTACATCAACTTTGAGCGCTTCTCCAAGGTCATGGAGGAGGTGGCTGCAGCCGAGGAGAGCCTCCGAGAGCTGGAGAGGAACAAGAAGTCCTTCCAGGAGGACATCGAGGCCCTGCTGTCCATCTATGAGGAGAAGGAGTCGTGGTACAAGGAGGAGAACGAGAGCATCAGCCAGGACCTCCGCCAGATCCGGCAAGAGCTGCAGAAGACAGAGGCCCTGAAGAAGCAGGCGCAGGAGGAGACCAAGAGCGTAGTGCAGGTGGCCAACGGCCTCAAGAGGCGGTACCGAAAGTTGGAGAACCACTACGAGGCGTTGGCCAAGCAGGTGGCCTCAGAGATGAAGTTCGTCCAGGAGCTGGTGTGGTCCATCGAGCGGGAGAAGCTGCAGAGCGGTGAAGGAGACGGCAGCATCCGCTAGCTCGGCCGGTGCCGGGGTCGGCTGCCTTCGCGCTGAGGTTGGGTGGTCCTTCCCGATCCCACCTCGCTGACCCACAGCGACAGGCAGTGCCGAAGGGACCTCGGTGGCTCTGCCCCTTGGCTCGCCCGAGGAGCCGGGCCACCAACAGCCTTCGGTGAATGTCCCCAGGCTGTGCTGCCCTTGCGGTGGCATGCTGGGGGCTTGTGCCTCCCTGGAGACCCCCGCCTCAGGGGGCTTGAGTTGCGCTCTCCTGGGTTTTGGCTTCCTGCGTGCGGCTCTTGCTTGGCTTGCCGTCCGCGTGCTCCCCGTGGTCCCGGTTGTCCTCCCACTTGCTGCCGCAGGGCTCAGGGACCAATGCTCCCCTCCCCGTCCCACCCGGGGCCAGGGTCTCAGAGCTGCCACGGTGCCCTGCCTGGGAGGCTCTTGGTGGGGAGACCCCTCCTCTAAAACCCCCACAGCAGCTCAGCATCTGCCACGCGCGAGCCATGACCGAGGAGCGATTCCTGCACGGCCCGACACGCCGCAACCCCGTGGGTGACCCCGGCCCTCCCCCTGCTCCCCCCAGCCCATCGCACCTCCCTGCTCCCAGCCCTCGGTCTCACCGGGCGCTCCCCCTTTTAACAAAATAAAGGATTCCGTGCACCGGGATGGCCGCTTTGGCTCCTGCCGTGGGAGAACGGGTGGTGGGAAGGGGACAAGGATGCGCCGTGGGGTGACAGCTCCTCTGCTGTGCCCCCAGATGGTGTTTGCGCTCCCCTCCCAGAGGGATTTCCTTAATTTGGGAGGGGAAGGACTTTTTATTTTGCCTTATTATCCCCAACGCCGGTGGGTGAGCTCCCTATGGGCTCTGTGGACTCTGGGCATGGGGATGGGGTGCGGGATGCTCCTGGGCTGGGGGAGCCCCCGGCCCCTCTTGTCTCGGACCCCGGGGGAGGTCTGGGGGGCTCAGGGAAGGCTGAGGGATGGTTCGGGGAATTGGAGAAGGTCTGTGGGGTTTGAGGAGGTCCCTGGGGCTCGGGGAAGGCCCTTGGGGGTGGGGATGTCCCAGGGTTTCTGTGGGGTCCCCCCCCCTTTTCCCTGGTTATCCCTCTTTTGCAGGGGACCGGCCAGATCCCATTTTGGAATGGAATTAACCCCAATATTATGGGGGCCAGAAAGGGCCGTTGGGCTCTGCCATCACTGGCGAGTGCAGGAGAGCAGCTGGTGGCCGGGGATGGGGGGGCAGCACAGGCTGGACCCCCTTCCCCTCGCCCTTGGCCCCCTGGGGACAGGGACGGGGACGGGACAAGGTCCCAAATCACCGCTTTCTGCAGAGCATGCACGAGAACATGAGATGGGGTTTCCACCGGGAGCACCGAGGGGTTTCCATCCCCTGTGGCGATGGAGCCAAGATCCGGCTGAATGTGAGCCGGGGGAATCACCGGCCAAACCCCGGCGGATGGCAGGCGTCCCTCTGGCTCAGGGGGGACAGACGGACAGCAGCGGGTCCC